GAAACGGCTTGGTGGTGCAAGTTTGTGTTGAGAGCAGCAGGAAAAGCTACATCTTGTATCTCTCATCACATCTTGCTCTGCTCACTGTCCCTCTCCTTGTCTGTGTTTAGGTTACGCACCCCACCCCTCATTCGCTCTGAGCAGGAGCTGAAGGAGAAGATCGCTCTGCTGGAGGTGAGTGTGCACGCGTCTGTATCAGTGGGAGTCTCACTGGCTCAGAGCAGATGTGGCGTTTTGTCAGTCAGGGGTATGATGAGCCTGTCTCTCAGTGAGGAGTGTACATCTCTCTCCCTGTTTGTGTAATCGCACTATGTGTGCAGAGAGAGCCTCACTGGCTCAAGAGCACACCTGGCGTTCAGTCAGTCAGGGGTATAATGAGCCTGTTTCTCAGTGAGGAGTGTACATCTCTCTCCCTGTCTGTGTAATCGCACTGTGTGTGCAGAGAGAGTCTCACTGGCTCAGAGCAGACCTGGCGTTCAGTCAGTCAGGGGTATGATGAGCCTGTCTCTCAGTGAGTGTACATCTCTTTCTCTCTGTCAGGCCCTCAGTGATATCCAGATTGCGGTGAAGATGGTCCAGTCCAGTGCGAGTGGTGATGAACACCCCCTGGACAGGCAGTACCACACTCTGTGCTGTGAGCTGGAGCCCATGGAGCCCAGTTCCCAGGAATACCAGGTCCGTGTGCCGGCGCTTTGCCTCTCTGTGTCCGACAGCTCTGGAAGCACCCCTCTCACAGCCTGGTCTCGGGCACTCTAGCTTCTCCGTCTCGCCCTCCTCTTGGTCCATGTGGTGCAGGTTTTGGTCAGTCCTCTACACTGGCTCTGAGTCTGCTCCGGCTTCCCATCTGTCACTCTCCCTCTCTCTCTCTTCCCCTCCCCTCAGCTGCTGGAGCGCTACCTGCAGTCCACCCACGCCTCCACTCACAGCGACTACACCATGACCGTGCTGGACATCTTCACCGTGAACAGGAAGGGGGAGGAAGAGGCCTTCTGCTCACACCTGCACAACAGGTAGTCTCCTTCTGCGAGTGCCTCGGCCTCTTTTCCATGTCTGCATCCGTGTCTCTGAGTCTGACTAAGTCCCCGTGAGTCCCCGTGTGTCCCCATGTGTCCCCGTGAGTCCCTGTGTGTCCCCGTGAGTCCCTGTGTGTCCCCATGAGTCTCTGTGAATGTCACTGAATTTCCATGAGTCTCTGTGAATGTCAATGAGACTCCGTGAGACTCCGTGAGTCTCTGCGTGTCCCTGTGTGTCTTTGCGAGTCACTGTGTGTCCCCGAGTCTTAACTTTCTCTTTCTCTGCGCACCTAACCACCCCTTTGACTACACATCGCAGTGGAAAGTGAAGTGGAGCCAGTCCTGTGAGGCTGTATTGATTGATTGATTGATTGATTGATTGATTTCCCCCAGGACTCTGCTGTGGCATGGCTCCCGTCTCTCAAACTGGGTCGGGATTCTGAATAAGGGGCTGAGAGTGGCTCCACCAGAGGCACCAGTCACTGGGTACATGGTAAGAGACAGAGACTGCACTGTCCGTCTGTGAGAGACACTGGCACTGTCCGTCTGCGAAGGATACCGTCGGTGTCCATCTGCGAGAGACACTGGCTCTGTCCGTCTGCAAGAGACACTGACGCTGGATTTGTATGAGTCACTGAGACAGGAATGAGTCTGTCTCAATGTATCTGTGTGAGTTGGAGTCTGATGAAGTGCTTGCAGTCTAGCCCAGTCCAGTGAAGTGAAGCCCATTGTGGTTCAGACTGTTCTGTGCACACGTGTCTCAACAGGGATTTGATTATGATAATGGTTAATAACTCCTGACGCTGAAAGCAGTCAGTCCAGTAGACGTCAGTGTGTGTTAATCTTTTTCCTTCCTCTCTCTCCTTCTTCTTCTGGCTAGTTTGGAAAAGGAATCTACTTTGCGGACATGTCATCTAAAAGTGCGAACTACTGTTTTGCCAACCAGAAGAACAGCACAGGACTGCTGCTGCTCAGTGAGGTATGCCGATGGCAGGAGCATCCCAGGATGGTCGAAGCACGGCGCACGTTTTTGTGTATGTGTGCGCACGTGCATTTGAGCACTGTGAGTGTGCATATGTGCGTGCGTGTGTTTGTGAGCACTGTGAGTGTACATGTGCACGCGCACCTGTGTTTGAGCACTGTGAGTGTGCGTGTGCATGCCCACGTGTGTTTGAGCAACATGAGTGTGTGCCCACGTGTGTTTGAGTACTGTGAGTGTGCATGTGTGTGCGCACGTGTGTTTGAGCGCTGTGAGTGTGCACACGCATGTGTGTTTGAGCGCTGTGAGTGTGCACACGCATGTGTGTTTGAGCACTGTGAGTGTGTGTGCGCACGTGTGTTTGAGCACTGTGAGTGTGTGTTCGCACGTGTGTTTGAGCGCTGTGAGTGTGGGTGTGCGTGCCCACGTGTGTTTGAGCACTGTGAGTGTGCGTGTGCGTGCGTGTGCCCATGTGTGTTTGAGCACTGTGAGTGTGCGTGTGCGTACCCACATGTGTTTGAGCACTGTGAGTGTGCACGTGTGTTTGAGCACTGTGAGAGCGCGTGTACGCGTGCTATCTGGGGACGATGAGGAAAGAAGCAAGTCATGTCATCGATTCTAAAAGTCCATTCCAGTTGTTCCCGGGGTGATCCCGCCAAGCCGGGAACCGGGAATACGAGCGAGGCGTGGGTATCTGACGGCAGTGTCCTGTGTCGACGCCGCTACAGGTCGCCCTGGGGGACTGTAACGAGCTGCTCCATGCCGATTACAACGCGGACAAGCTGCCGCCCGGAAAGCACAGTACCAAGGGCTTGGGCCAGACCGCGCCGGACCCCAGGAACGCCGTGGCGCTGTGAGTCCCGCGCCGGCTCGCTCCTCCAGTGGTGGCGGCGCATCCTCTGCCTTGCGGTGTGCAGTAGCGGCGGCCGCTGTACCAGCAGGGGCAGGACTGGTACCGACTGCGTGTGTGGCTGTGAGGTGTGGCGAGTTCCCCTCACGAACAGTAACCGCTCCGGTGGATCGCCTCCTCAGCAGTCGTAGCTGTGGTGTAGAGCTGCACAGCAGCAGTCTGTCGCGTCGGCCCGTGCTGACCTAATGGAAGTCATGAGACGGCTGGGTTGGAGCTGAGGCCTCTCCTTTGGTGCGGAGAAGCTGGAGGTGTGGAAAGACTGCTGGACAGCGCCCCCTTTCTGGGGACGGGAGCAGGGCTCCCGCTGGCGCCAGGCTTTCCTGAGGGGCCGGTCTTTGTTTTTTTTAATTAACGCTTATTTATCACCACATCTCTGGCCGTCCGCATGTCTTACAGTATCAAATAGTTTCTCGTTCTTGTTCTTTTTCTGCTTGTTTTTGTTCTGCGTCCTCTCTTGTTCTTTCTCATTCTTCTTTTTCATGTTCCTCTTCTTCTTCTGCTTCTTTTTGTTTTCCGTCATCTTGTTCTGCTTATTCTTGTTCTTCTCCCTTTTTTCCGTGTTCTTCTTGTTCTTCTTCTACTTGTTCTGCTTATTCTTGTTCTCCTTCTGCTTCTGCTTCTTACTGTTGTACTATTCCCCCCTGTCCCAGCAGCGACGGGGTCGGCGTGCCCCTGGGCCCGGCCGTCCGGACTGGGGTGGCCAACGAGCAGGGCTACACCCTGCTCTACAACGAGTTCGTCGTCTACGACCCCAACCAGGTGCGCATGAGGTTCCTCCTCCGGGTGCGCTTCAACTACCCCTCGCCGTGGTGAGACGCCGCCGTCCGCGAGGCGGCAAGAAATCTGGCAGAACTCCGAGCTGACACTGGGGGGGGACACCGGGGGAGGTGGAGGAGGTGAGGGGTGGGGGCAGTGTGCCTTCATGATGCAGAACGCGCTCCTAATTCATCTGAAAGTCCGGCGGAAAATAAGTTCGGAGACACTACCCAAGAAAGCAGGAGCTCTGGAGGCAGCGTAGGTGCGGAAGACAGACACAAGAGGGACAGAGGGTCCTGTCCCGGGACAGTCTGGGCACTG